GGTGGGGATGGGGTGGAGGACCTCCGCGGCGCCGCCCCGCGGCCGCAGGGCCCGTTAGGCGGACGGGCACTCAATGGACACACGCACTCGTTTCCGGGCCTCTCGGGAAAATTAACTTAAGGGTACCTCTGGACTCTCCGGGTATTATGTCCTCCAGTTAAAATGTTCGTGCCCTGAGGTCAATTCTGAAAACGTTGACAGCGAACCGGCATCGTTTGAATGTTTCGTTTCAGGCCAATAATAAGCGACCCAATAATAAGTGCAACATACCAGACAATATTTCAGTGCACAGAACCGACTTCCCAAAATTAAATACTATTGATGAAAAAGGGGGGAAGGCAATATAGAATAGTATATCATATTTCAGAGTTCTTTTCCAATGTTTATACCAAAAATGCGTTCCAAATTCGTCTTGACACTAATGTTGATATGAACTTTAATTTTGAGTCTGCAGTGGAATAACGATTGCCTATTTAATTATGTTTCCGTCGATGTGAGAGTGAATCAGAGGTTATCTAAAACGTATAAATTCAGTTTCAAGTTGTTGTGACAGTTCTGTCAAAAATCCAGTTCTCATTTATTGTGAATTTTGTTAAGAAATTCTTTCAGTCCGAAACTGTTGCCTTTAGAAAGGTGACGAGTTTTTGTGTCCAATAAATGTCACATTTTAAACATTTAATGGGCTCTCGTTTCATGTATCCAAATATCAAAGCAGACATTTGTTGCCTTTACATTCTGCGACATAATTGTTTTCATCCGTTCCAAGCCATTTACTCCACTGCAATCACAGTTAATCTTCTATAGTAACTTGTTAGTCAGTACAAAGCGTTTCTATCGTAAAGTTGTTATGGAGAAAGTGAGGCATCGTTAGGCGCCACCACTAAGTGTCAAGTTCGTTGACAATGCACATATGGTGAACTTAATCAATGTTAAAGAATAAAGAAATTGGGAGGTGAAAGTCTTTTGTAAATACACAATCGATACATAACCCGATAAGGCGAGTGAAATGTGAACACTAAATTGGAAATCGTCAAGTGGTGTGTTGTTTTGCTCGCGTTAGAAACTCGATTCGTTTGGCACACTCGTGCCGCATGATGAACTGTCGCGTCAGCATGTCGAAAATAGTCTACAGTACCATATGGAAACAATTTAAATCGGCCATTACGACAGAGTTCCGCAATTTATTCGTCTCCCCACTCAGCGCCAACGTAACTGCCTGCACGAGTAATTCGGGTGCGTGCGATTGCCGCACAGTTGCGCAAGGGAGAGGCGGGAGAGGTTACGAGATCCTGCAGGCGCGATGACATTAAGCGAGATGCCGCGACGCGACGCACCGGGTTGCGAGCGCACCAACCGAACACTTGTGGCGGAAGGGGGACGGCGAGCGGCGGCGGCGGTGGCGGCGGCGCGCGCGCAACTTTGCCAATTAGCGGGCGCCGTGCATTGTCCTCTTGGCCGAAGCGACGGGAAACTACCTGGCCCCTCCCAAACAGCCCCTATTGTCCAGTGACAGTTGCCACATCGATTGCTCTGGCGTCGCGTTCGCCCAGTCACTTACACCGGCTCCTCTTTCCATCTGCTGGCTTCTTGTTCTGCTTCACGGAAGCACACAATCTCCTTCTAGTAAATCATGCCTTCTCCCTACAACCTCTTCAGCGTGCCCTTGCTTACGTGTTATTCAAGCTTCGTGCGCGCGCGCGCGCGCGTTTGTGTGTGTGTGTGTGTGTGTGACGATCCTTTTTGCACACACTTTTTATGGATATTTATTACTCCCACTTCTAACGGGATTTCGTTTGCATTGCTCTTCACCTTGTTCGGTGTCTTCATTGAAAACCTGCATTTAATCATAGTTAAGAAATTACCGCACACATGCCTTTTTCCTCACTCCAGCAATGATTATCTTAAACCTTGTTCTGCATGATGCTTTTTCTCTGTTAATTTTCCCTATTCCATTACCCCTGTAGTTTCCATTTCCTAAAATCCGCTTAGCGCGCTCATGTGACTCAGACTTCCCTGTCTTCGTTTACTAATTCTTATCTCTCTACTATCCAGACCTCTAGAAGGTGTCGACTGTCGACACGTCTCGAATGGCAAGTTGGGCTTCTCACCGCAGACATCCAAAGTCCAACTTGAGAACGTGTGACGGTCGCATTGACGAACGATTGTCTGAGGTCGACTCGTCGGTAACGGAACTATTGGCGACCTCTTCACTCTAGACGTCGAGAAATGACTTAGTTTTATCACAAATGTCAGCATTGTGGGATTTGAATTACATTTATAAATCGCGTGTGTTTCAATGTATTCCTGAATGAGTTTTAAGCGTGGTAAATGGTTTCCAAAGATTGGAAATTAAACGTTTCGGCTACGTAAATTGTATGTCTCCATGGTAGAGTATACAATATTAATTACCAGAAATTTAAATTATTCTCAATTAGGGAACTATGATTTTTTTTGTTAACGTGAATAGCAAATTATGCTGCACGGGAAATTTGTTAACCTTGACGCTTAAGAGGTTTCAGTTCATTAAGAACCAATAGTTCCAATTAAGAGTGAAAGCTCATTGGTATTATTTCTGCTAGGAAACAATATCCTTCATAATGCAGAAAGGCAGAATCTAATAAGGTTAAGCCGAAAAGCTAGACGGCCATGAGATTAACCTCCACGCCCAATCTTGTGACCTGGAAAAGTGGCCACAAGGACGCAGTAAACGTGTGTATACGCACGGAATGTTAAACTCGCACTCTAAACTTTTATTAACCAGCCATTAGAAATATTTTCATGTTTAAATCACTCAAGGTCTCTCTTGGTGACTAATGAATTTAGCACAATTTTAATGTGTGATTTTGCAATTATCCATTTAATCTTTGTGGGTAAAATGGCATGCTTTTCATTTTACGTGCGAGGTAAAGCGATCGATTGGGTTTTTGAAGAATCGCTTCAATTATTATACTAGAATTCAATAAATCAGTAATTAAATTTGTAAATGGCATATTAGTATTTGTGCAATAAGGAACAGAATATACACATACACATATACATATACATATACATATACATATACATATACATATACATATACATATACATATACATATACAGAATATACATGAATACAATAAGGGGAATTCTTTAGGGGCATAAAAGGTTCCGCAAGGGGAAGAAGAGTTCTTGGTAAGAGAGCAAAAGCAAAGCACCTTGTCCGTTCAGGTACACGTTGGCCACATGCTCCGACTCGACCGACTGCAGCCCCTCGGGGGTGCGGTAGATGTCGATGGGCGCCGGCAGCGGCGTGCGCAGGAGCAGCTCGCGGCTGCCGCCCCCGCCGTCGTCCTCCTCGTCCTCGCCGCCGCCGCCGCCCCCGCCGCCCTCCTCGTCCTCCTCCTCGGCCTCCTCCTCCTCCTCGTCGGGCGCGCGC